TTTAAAAAAAAAAAAAAGGTAGACAAAAGACATGGAAAAATATTTGGAATGTAAGAACAAAATATATAAAGAGCTCCAAAGAATCGATAATAATAATAATAATAATAATAATAATAATAAAACTGAAATCCACAGAGGTATAATTAGAAATGACAAATGAGGGGAGCCTGAGTGGCTGAGTCAGGTAAGTGTCTGACTCTTGATTTAAGCTCAGGCCATGATCTCACAGTGGTGAAATTGAGCCCTGCATTGGGTTCCAAGTTGCTGGGTGTGGAGCCTGCTTAAGATTCTCTCTTTTCCTCTCTCTGCCCCTCCCCTGCTTGCATGCTCTCTCTCTTAAAAGTATATAAATAAATAAACAAAATACATACATACATACATAGAAATAACAAATGAATTTGGCAAGGTCACAGAATTCAAACTCAATATACAGAGAACAACTGTGTTTCTATATATTAGCAATAAACCAATTATATTTCTATACACTAGCAATAAACAATCCAAAAATAAAATTAAGAAACCAAATCTATTCACGTCATTGAAAAGAATAAAAAAATTAGGAATAAATTTAATAAGATCAGAGCAAGACACACACATTTAAAACCTCAAAATATTGCTGGGAGAAATTAAAGAAGATCTAAATAAATGGAGAGACATTCCAGGTTCCTGGGTTGGAAGACTCAATATTAAGAAGATAGTAATTCTCCATAATTTTATCTATATTTTTCACACAGTACCTACCAAATTCCAGCAGACCTTGTTGCAGAAATTGGCAAGCTGATGCTAAATTTAAATAGAAATGCAAAGGACCCAGAATAGCCAAAACTCTCTTGAAAAAGCGTAATAAAATCTGAGAGCTTATATCTTCCAATTTCAAAACTTACTACAAAGCTATAGTAATCAAAACAGTGTGGTACCAGCATTAGGCTAGACATATAGATCAAGAGAACAGAATGGAGAGTCCATAAATAAATCCTTACAGTTATGGTTCATTGATTTTCAACAAAAATGTCAAGCACAGAACACACAGTTCTGGATCGCTGACTAACAGAATGTGAACAGAAATGAATCTGCTTTAACCAGAGGCTTTAAAAAGCATTGCGTCTATTTGCTCCCTCAAGCTGCATAAACTTGAGAGGCATGCCCATTATATATAATATATACAATATAACCTAAAAAAAAAAGCTGACTAATAAATGTTAAAAGGAAAAGATTCTAAAAGATGCACATCAACTTGAATTATGTTTGCCTCTGTTGGAGGACAGTGTTGTTGAGAGAAAGAACTTTATATATTTTCTAATTTCTTGAATTTTTACAAGTGTATAACTAAAACATCTATTTAACTTAAAAATGAAAAAGACATGTGCTAGAAGTAGAAGTATCTGGATTAGTATGGTAGGATAAGTTTTTCTTCCCTTCTCCAGTTTCCAAGTTCTCTGTGATGTTTTAGTATGTGTTATTTTTTAAAGTTTGAAAAACCAAAAAAGCTAAGCCTCTAACATCAATGTAATGTAGATACTATGCTGATGACAACCTGAAAGTGTCAACAATCTTATTGAAAGATTGATGCCAACAATCTTATTTAGCCATTATAATGACACTGAAATGTTAAGTATTTAATCAGTCCCATTTCACAGTCAAGGAAAACAGGGTTAGATTACTTCCACTAAAGGACACACATGGTAAGCAGTGAATCAGAAAACAGTCTTTTGGACTCTAAATCTCCAAATCCTGAGTGCTATGACAATGTGATCAAAACACTGTGATCAAAACAGAAAAGAGGTAGTGATAGTTCTGTTTGGAGAAAAGAGGAGAGGATTGGTTCACAAAGTATTTGCTTGTATGAACCACCTTAATGGCTTCCTGTATGAAAAATGGATATGATGGCCTTCATCTTGTAGTGAAATTTTTTGTCACCAAATTCCTAGAGACATCTAATTTGAAAATAACCATTTGTTACTTTTTATTATCATTTATGACAACTAAAATACATCATGACTCAAAACATACAAAGATGTTGCTATAAGCAGTTATATTAGTATCATTTAATAAGATGATTTCTGATTAGAAAAGGCATAGTTTTGAAAACAGATACATACTCCAGGGACTACGGAAAATATAAGTGCACCCAAATTTGTTCACCGTTAGGTTCAAATGCAAAAGGCTAAGCTTCATCCCTTTTAGTAATTAAAAATGAAAGAAACTAAATGTTCTTAAAAGTCATAAAACAAACATTTGGTCTGAAAAAGAATCAGCATACCTGGGAACATTATTGTTTGAGTCTTCACTTTCATTTGCCAGACCACCAAACAAATAGCATTTGTTACCATATAAAGAGAAGCTATGTCCAAGCCGGGGACAAGGAGGTAAACCAGAAGAAGGGGGGTGGGGTTTCACTTTTTTCCATAACCAACGACTTGCCTAAAAAAGAGCATAAATACAATCAGGCAAAATCAGGAAAACATTCCTATATTGTCAATAGTATAACATCATACCAATACATTTTAATCGAAATCCAATTAGAAGGCTCCAATAAGCTATCCTGGGGACAAATGACAAGTAAGCAGATAACTTCTGGAACTAAAATAAACACTGCAATAGAAATTCAGTCTACTCTTCCATATTCACAGCTTTTCTCAACAGCAACCTAATAGTAAACATGATGAATAACTCAAATGCTAACAGTTTCAAAATATTTTCCAAATGAAAAATTAAATATATATAGCTTTAAGAGTAAACATAATTTGGGGCGCCTGGGTGGCTCAGTCGGTTAGGCGTCCGACTTCGGCTCAGGTCACGATCTCACGGTCCGTGAGTTCGAGCCCCGCGTCGGGCTCTGGGCTGATGGCTCAGAACCTGGAGCCTGCTTCCGATTCTGTGTCTCCCTCTCTCTCTGCCCCTCCCCCGTTCATGCTCTGTCTCTCTCTGTCCCAAAAATAAATAAACGTTAAAAAAAAAAAAAAAAAAGATTAAACGTAATTTATACATTCTTACTTTCTGAAATTAGTATATATTTCAACCTTTAAGTATGCATAAAGGTCATTTAACAAACCAAACTCCAAAACTTATACTCTGGCCATGGATGCTCTATTTATCTAAAATGATTTGCTCATAAATAGGTATAATTCACCCACATCTGTCAATTACCAGATACCCTCATGATAATAGCCCTGTGAACACAGGCACAGTTTGGGAATAAAAGTCAATTAAGGGCTGTCAGAGAGGGCTCTGAGTGCGGTTTAGGAAAATCAAACATAAAAGGACATAAGAAACTGTCTTGTGTGTGTGTGTGTGTGTGTGTGTGTGTGCGCGCGCGCACGCGCGCGTCTGTGAGCATGTGCACATATACTGCCAGGGGGGAAAAGTGATTATTAGTGTAATGGTAACAATTTCTATAACTGAGCAGAGTTTTTGAAAATATGGTCTGGGGACCAGCAGTAGCACAGGGGAACTTGGTAAGAATTCAAGGGGGGAGGCCTCACATCAGACAATACTGATTCAGAAACTCTGGGAGCAGGGCCCAGCAATCTGTGTTTTCAGAAGCCCTCCAGATGCTTCTGTTGCTGCTAAAATTGAAGAACTATGACACTAAGATACAAAAACCCAAACATGTAACATGTACAATTGATGCTAAGTAACATATCTTTATGTTACAAATGTTACACTGAGTATTGAAAAAAAGACTCACTTTAGAAACTTTGGCTTTTTAGTGAAGTGGAAACATTTTCTTTGAAGCTCTAAAATGTGAAGTTCACACTATCTCAAATACATTAATGAAATATTTCGCAATCTTTCAAAGAATGAAGAGCAAGATCATTATTAAAGCTGCAGATTGAGATAAATTTTAAATACACTTACTTGCAACTCATACAACTCATTGCTGTATCTTCCATATTCAACCATTCCCCCGAACACTAATATTCTGGTACCATCACAGACAAATCCGTGGGCAGCGCAACCTGGAGGGATGTCTCCTCTAACCGCTGGTAGGAACCATTGATTTGTAACTAGTTGCCAAAATAAAATTAAGACCAATCATGATACACTGTTGTCACAAACTATGAGTGTGTACTTTATATGTATCTTCTAGATCAGTGGCTCTTAACTGGGGATGACTCTGCCCCCGGGAGAACAACATAACTTTGCGGTTGCCTTACTGGAGAGGGAGAGGAGAGATGCTTACTGGCCACTAGTGGGTAGAGCCCAGAGACGCTGCCAAACATCTTACAAGGTCCGTGCAAGCTCTTCCAACAACTAATTCCTCTGGTCAAAACGGCCACATGCTGCTGTTGGAGAAACCCTGATCGATGTCATTAATTCTTCCCCAAACCTTGCTTGGTATCATCATCTCCATTCTACCAGTGAAAATCGGCTATTTAAGTTTGGTGACTTTAGCGCTGATCCTGGGGACCCGGCGGAGCAAAATTCAAACCAGGTCTCACCTTCCAAAGCCAGGATTTCTACACTACACCAAACTGTCAAATAACTTTTTAGCTAAATAGTGGGGTGCGG